CGATGTACCTGGTTAAACAGTCTGTGGAGTAGATTGTTGGTATGCTAATTGGTGATGGTTCTAACCCTGAGTGGGGGAGAATTGGGTATCTTATTGAGAGGATCAGAGATTTGTTCAAGTGAGGTTAGAGAACTGGTTATGGAGATTTGCGGGCGGTACGGATTCATGAGACTTGGGTTATTAGTGGATGAGGCAAGGTGTGGAGCGAGATAATGCATGTTGTACGTGTGTTCAGGAAAGGATGAGTGTATCCACGGCGAGTAGCCGTTGGTCAGGGACCTTATGGTGGTTAGGAACCCTTCGAGGTTGTAATGGTTGAGTTCGAGGCGGTTGGCTCGTTAAGGAGAGTTTCGACGGTTGAGAATTTCTAGTTTGATGTATGGGTTGTTATATGCTCTTGGCAAGGGCAGAAGTTGATTGGCAACCAACTTTAGAGTCGGTATGAGTATTCTTGCATGTGTGTTTGAGCAATAGAGGACGGGGTTTCAGATTGTTGTCAACGTGTTTTGATTCATTGACGATTCCTCCGTGTTTCAAATTGAGAGTTGGAGTATTTCGAAGTTACGAGTTGTGCGAGAGGAAGATCAGTGGTCGAGGCAAGACATTGTGAGATTCTGAGAGGGTGTATTGCGGTATCCGAGTATGATGCCGTGAGTGGGAGATCAGTGGTTGAGGCAAGACATCATGAGGTTTTGTGATGGTGTACCGAGATGTCCGAGCATGATGCCCTAAATTTTCGGATTATTTTGAGATTTGAGTTGTGAGATGGCAAGTGGGGTACTAGGTGACTATGGTTCCATTAGGAGCCCTTCAGTTGATTGTCATCAAGCGGGATTATCCAAGAATGTGAATTGCAACGAGAGAAAGTGTTTTGTCACGACGATTTTCGTCAGGAGTATGGATGATTAACCTGGGTGGCTGTGTGTACCTATCTATGTTGGACTGTGGAGTATTCGATAGTGAAATAAGTGGGTGATGACTCGAGGATGAGATTAAGGGGTGATAAGAGAGTGAGTGGATCCGAGTGGGAGTAATCACTTGAGACTATCAGGGAAAACCATGGGGTGAGCCCCTGGCAAGCGAGAGAGTATTGTGAAACTGCTGGGAGCCGTAGCTTTCACTGGCGAGCGAGAGAGTATTGTGAAACTGTGGGGAGCCGTAGCTTTCACTGGCGAGCGAGAGAGTATTGTGAAACTGCGGGGAGCCATAGTTTTCACTGGCGAGCGAGAGAGTATTGTGAAACCGTGGGGAGCCATAACATTCACTGGCGAGCGAGAGAGTATTGTGAAACTGCGGGGAGTCGTAGCTTTCACTGGCCAACGAGAGAGTATTGTGGAACTGCGGGGAGCCATAGATTCCACTAGCCAACTAGTGAGAGAGATTGTAGAGACTCTGTGGGGGAGCCATAATGATCACTAGTCAGAGCATGACGTAGAGAAATTCTTAGGCTTGGGTAGCCTTACCCATTGAGTCTTTGGGAACCGGGTGGCCGGACCAGGGGAGAGACTGGGGTCTCCATGATGGTCGGGAACCGTTATATTCCGAGTTGGGGTGGGGCTATCACAATTGGAAGGAATTGGATCAGTGATGTACGTGTGAATTCGAGAATCACTGGTCGTGAGTTGAGTATCAGATTGGAATTGAGTGGTCCCATTTCTGTTGTCGAACCAGACTCTCGAGTTTGAGTTTGGATCTAGTGGTGTATTGGGTAGACAGAATGAGATTTCGAAAGTTCAGATGGATTTCATTTCGAGAGGTAATGATTCCGTCTAGTGTCTTAGTCCGGAGTGGATCAGTTTGTTGGTATGGGAAGAACGACGAGACGCATTGAACTAGTAAGTAGCACGCGACAAAGGTCGGTGGTGAGGCAACTTCAGATGGGACTAGATAATTCGCTTGAGGTAAAGCGAACTTCATGACTTGTGTGTCACGATGAGACAAGATAGCTATTGTGAGAAAGAAGTCAGTAAAGTTGTTTTTATTGGGTGTACAATGGGTAACCTTTGGAGGTTCAACTGTTGAGTCGGGTGTTGACCTGGTGCTCAGTGTTGAAAGGGATATTTGAGAGGAAACTGGGGCTTATGATCATAGATGTCAGAGGATACATCTGAGAAAGCATGATCCTTTCCTTGTGTCTGAGGACAGAGTCTTGAGAGTCCATTTTTTTCAGATGGGTTCTGATAGCAGTACAGTTGATTGGTCCCTGGTGAGATGTGACCCTTTAGTTCCTTTGGAGTACGATCTGGATCGATTTGTATAACTAGTATGAGTAATAGGTAGCCAATTATTGGTAAATGACTTGACTCTATCAGTCGTAACAAGAGAATCAGAGTGGCGGTGTATTATCACAGTTTGTTATTCGAGGAGCGATTAACATGATGATATCTTGCGAGGGCGGTCTGGCAGGGAGACAGACCACTTGAGTTTCCAGGCTCTAAAGAGTCAAAACGGGTACCGCAGCGGCAGACGGGTCCACCTTTTCGGGATTGGGAGTTCCTGTTTGGGCTCAGGTGTCTTTGGAGGGAAATTGTTGTATGATATGAGATTCTTTCGGTGGTGTTTCTCGGGTCATTGGGTTCGATCTATGGATTGTTTTGGAGCGATTTCGAGGGCAAAATCTAATTCAAGTGGGGGAGAGATGTAACATCCTGAAATTCCCAGATATCATATTTGAGAAATTTGTGTCCCTTAGCAGAAAAACTCAACGAGTTGGATGTCCAACTCGAAGAGTGGAGTCGTTTTGGCCGTGTGGGTTTAGTGACCAACTTGATGAGTAGAAAGACCAACTCGGCGAGTTGGAGCTGTTTGGAGAAACCCTAATTTTTCCGGGTTTGTGTCCTATTTAAAGGGCCTTAAGCCCTTATTTCCGCCTCCCTTATCTCCAGAGAGCCCTGTGAGAAACCCTAGACCGGTTCCATCCATTTTTTAGAGAGAAATAGACTAATTTGAGTGTTCTTGTGCAACTTTGGAAGAAGATTTGGAGGGCATCGTGGCTTGGACCAGGGAGGGACGTTTGGATCCAGAGATTCTTCATGGTTAGCTTCTGTTGGAGGTAAAAAGATGCTAACTTGATCATTTCCTTATGAGATCTTGGCTTAGCGAGTTTCTAGGGTTTCTCCCATCCTTTTGTGTCATTGGGTCCTTTGAGCATAATTTGAGGTTAAAACCTCAAATCTGGATTGTAGGAGGTCTTGTGAGTCCAAAGACCCGAACTTTATTGAGCTAGAGACAAGATCTTGTGCATCTAACCCTTGTTGGAGCTTGTGTTGGCATTATGGAGCAAATATGACATGCATGAATGTAAAGATCGAAGCTTTACGTGACATTCGAGCCTTAGGAGACTAGATCTAGAGTTTGCAGTGGTGGATCTTCCTTAAAACGTCTGAATGAGAATACATATTGAATGAATTCGTCGAGGCGATGAGCTGACTCGACGAGTCGGTTGGGGTTGTCCCGATGGGTCTGATCATGCAGTAACTTGGCGAGTTGATGGGTCAACTCGACGATTTGAGTTGGTTTTCATGAGGCTTCTGAGGAAATGAGGGGACTCGACGAGTTGCTTTGATGCACTCGACGAGTTGGGTCAACATGGACTGTTGACTCGAGTTTGACTTCTGTTGACTTTTAGGGTTATGACCAAATGTGAGTAATGGAGAGCATGGAGGGGTAGAATGGTCTTTTATCCTTCCCAAGAGATAGAGAGGGGATAGTATGAGTTTATTTAGAGTCGTGATTTTAATTAGAGATAATTATCATATGTGTTAGGTGGAGGCTAGATCGGTGATTCGTGTACGAGGTGTATTTGCTTGCTTGCTTGCTTGCTTCGAGGTAAGTCTTCTCACTATACTTACCATGAGTGGTATCTTTGTGTGACCGGAGGGTCTTATATGTTTAATTAAGTATTGTGTTATCTTGCATTATGTCTCTGTGCTAAGTATTATTATGAGCTTATTGAGTTAGGACCGGAGGGTCCATCCGAGCTGTGGGACCAGAGGGTCTCCACTAAGACACATTGACCGAAGGGTCTTATTGAGTTACAGCCTCGAGTGGCTAATGTGATATGTGTGGTATTTTGGGGAACTCACTAAGCTTCGTGTTTACTGTGTTATGTGATATCTGTTTCAGGTACTTCTCAGGATCGCCGGGAAGGCACTGGCTTGATTGTACACACGAGATGAAGTTATGTTTTTGGAGGATCCTGGATTTTATTCAACAATTATGAAAATGTGTTTTCAATAATTTGACAATTGGGGATTTTGTGAAATGTCTTGATGAGATTTATATGATTTTAAAATGAAAAAATTTGTTGAAAATTTACGGTGTTACAAAAACACACACACACACCCCACACACATCGCACTATTAACATGACTAAAGATGGAAACTTAAATTCGTTAATTAGTGTGTCACATATTGGCTAGACTTCGATCCCATATACCTTTATGTATGTTGGAATCACTACAAGAAAAGTCTTTATCAGTGACCAGTTTTTTAGTGACGACTGAAAATCTGGTCACTATGAGCATCATTTAGTCACCATATAATAAGTCGTCACTGAATTTTGGTAATACTATAAATTTAGTGACTAATTCGATGATAGTTCTCACTCACCGGTCACTAAGTTATAAAATAAAATTTAAATAATTTTTTAATATCAGAAAACAAATATTAATAACTAAAAAGAATGGTCACTGGCTTAGTGACAAAAAATACTGGTCACTGATGTTAAAGGGTTAGAGACCAAAAAAAAGTCGTCACTAGATTGCCTCACATGTGGATGCGTAACCATCCGCCTTTAGTATACAGTGAAGAACTAAAATTACAAATTATAATAGTTAAAGGGCCAATTGTGCCATTTCAGTATGATGAAGGCCCATAAAAAATAATCTCCTTTCTTTTAATCGTATCACGTCTCACCATCATCAAAAACCCTCGTTTTTTTAAAACTCTCTCTCTCTCTCTCTCTCTCTCTCTCTCTCAATCACGATTTTCCGGCAAAAATGCCAACAACAATCGCCGTTCTGATTCTATGCATCTTTACGGTGGTGATCAATTGCCTGTCGTACGTGACGATCGGAAGCACAGTGAAGAAACCAGAAGGAACATGTTGCTCGGGGCTTAAATCGGTGTTGAGAACAGACGCACTGTGTTTGTGTGAAGCGTTCAAAAACAGTGCGCAATTAGGCACATCGTTGAATGCCACCAAATCCCTAGCTTTGCCTGTTGCTTGCGATATCAAAGCCTAGCTTTGCCTGCTGCTTGCGATACCAACGCTCCATCTGTTACTAACTCTAGAATTAAGCCTATCTAGTATCTCCGTTCGTCTCTCGTTAATCACTTACTTTCTTCAGGTCTGCACAGTATGAACATCTCTATCTTAATTTGTTTAAAATCAAATTTCAATTTTGTCTTAGTGAATTGCCTGCTTGATTGACATGCAAAATCAAATGTGTTTTGTGTCCTTTGTCCTAATTCACCCCATAAACTGAGATTCCATGGCTTGTCTTACAAGTGATTTTCGAATTCCTATTTAAGTGAATTCATAATCTAGCTCCATTCATAAATCAATGGCATTTTCACTAGATACAAGATAAAGTTAGGTTTTCGAACGGAAAGTGGAGAAAACCTTTTGTAATCTCAATCAATTAAGCTTTTGATTCGCCCAACTGGCATGTAATGTGTCTATGAAGGCTGATTAACAACTTATATTATTGATTTTGTTATTTAAAATATTTAAATTTGGTGGAATGACACACTGTAGTTGTTTTTAGGTTTTAACAGCGAGTTTAAGGAAAGATTTTGGGGGTGAGAATCAATTTTTGGCGGAATGGTAACAATTTAGCTAAACCTTGATTGTTGTTTCTGCACTACATCATTTCTTATTGCAATGGAATATGACTTGCTTCCCTATATTTTTTCTTAATCAGAATTATATTTTAGGAGCTTTCAAGCCTTCTTGTAATATTTCAGTTACACTTATTGTTCTCATTATAGACTTATTTGCCCTTTTTGCAGATATCTGTAGACCAGTGCAAGGGAAGAAGGTTGAACATAATGGCATTAAAATAGAACTCCTTGGTTAAATTGGTGAGTTTTCTACTTAATTTTAGGAGAAATTGTCATGCAAATCAATGTTAATAATATTTTGGTATTTTATTTCTGTTTGCAGTAATTTATTTTGACAGAGGCAACTTCTATGACTTTACCTCTCTTGGTAAGTCCATCTGTTTGGATGCTAACTTTATACATGTTCTTGATGAAATGACAACTTTTATGTTCTTTTTTCATTGATAATTGATAATTCAACATCATTATTCATCGATAATTTACTATCTTACCCTTTGTTATGTAGTTCGTGAACCGGATGTTCCTGGTGAAATATATGAAAGGAAAACATTTCCTTTTGAATATTCTTCAGTTTAAATGCCTTATGAGACATACAATGGTGTCAATGTGCGACTTAGGTAAACACCATCTTATATCTAAATTCAAATAAAATACAAAAAAGCATAAAACCATGATTATGATTGCATATGAAATGGGTTTTAGCTACTTCTACAATAGCAAACATGCTACATCCGGCTTACCAAGGTCTTGTGTCATCAATGCAAGTGATGAAGCTCTATTTTTGTAGCAAGTCGAAAATTATAGTCTGTGTTCTAGAGTGAAATTGAGTTGTTGACATCTGTGAAAAATGTTTTCTCTTAATCACAATTTAAAAGTAAAATTAAAGCAAAAGTGTTGGTGTTAATTTTGTGAAAGATGTTCTTGACTCTGTTTTTGGTTTAACATAAGAACTCAAAATCCAGCCTATCTATTAATGGGAAGAATACTCTTTTTCTTAGGCTATCATTGTATGACTCATTTTGGATCTTTGTAAAGAACATAAACATATAGAAATATGCTTTTGCCAATATGCTACTTACATATAATCTCAAGAAGGAAAGAACAATTTCTCATTACTTAAAGTGCATTAAATCAATTTGGCGGAAGTTTTTTATTTATTTATTTATTTTTTTTTAATTTATGCTTCTAAATTGGTTTTTGAATTTTCTTGCTTTAAACCAATATACAATATGTTGCAGACCTATGGTATTGACTCAAAGCTATAATTTGTTGCAAAATTTGGTAAGAAAACGACTTTTTTGTTTTATGAATTTGTTTACTTTCTACTGACTGATGGACTTTAACCAGGGGAAGTTATGTCATTTTTACAACATTGTTCAAATATTCGTCAAATGAAAAAGTTCTTTTGTTATGCTTTAAGTTACTGCCCTTCAAATATTTCTGGTATATATTTGTTCTTTTAAATCAGTTTATGTTCTTTCTCTTTCTATTCACAGAAAGAAGTTGCAAGCTCTGAACTGGAGAGTGGTGTTATTAATGTTGTACATGATAACCGAATGATTTCATTCCTTTAACCATGCCAAACATGATAACTGAATGTAATCACTCATTCTATTCCCTTGTTGTCTATTCCATTCCATCACTTTCTCAACTATGGCCCTTTCATACACCTTTAAACTCTTTGCAGGGTAAGGCCGAAATGGCAAGAATAAGCTTAAAGATTTCAAATATTCTTTTATATCTCGAGGTAACATCAACTGTTCAATTTACTAAACTACCCTTGATACAATTATAGCATTGTACTTTCAGTTTTTATCTTATCAAGACCTTATACCTTGAAATTACTACATAAACTTGTTTTGTATTGCTATAAATTGGTAGATTTCATTAAAGTAGGATATGCTATAATAAACAAATCATTGCTATTTCTTGCAATTAACCATTTCTAATATCATTCTTGTAGACTAGGATAGCTGAATATTTTCCCAGTTTAGACGAGATGCTTCAATCACAGGTTAGTGAGATACTTATTTACTTTTTGGTTAATAATTTTCTTTCTCTTCTATTTCAATTTACTAATTTTGTTATAGCATTGTAAATCCTATAAATAGCAATGAACTTCCATTACTTGTTTATTATAGCATCCTACTTTCATTCATTTCTATTTACAATATTGCAGGTCTGAACTTAGCAGTGAGAAACAGGCCACCAGCAGATCCAACACCGCCAACTCCAAGAATCATAGGTAATTTATCTTTGAAGTAGCTACTTGATGGAATATATCATATTTGCTTAAATGACAGTTAACCTTTTTTTTAGTCTCATATATCTTAATGCTTTTGGTAATCAAGTTGCTGGAAGATTTAACTGTTGTCTTACTGAAGATTCTAAAGAGGTGGCAGTCTGCAAAAATATTTATAAATCTTGTATAGATAATGTGATTGGTTTCTCATTGTTTAGGTTCTCACTTGAAACTACTGATTTGACAGATGTTCAATATGATGTCTTTTTGCAATCAAATTGAACTGTGTTTACCATTTATGTTTACCATTTGATGAGATATATATTGATAAATGAATTATAGTATATCTTACCTTTGACTAAGTAAGTTCCATGCTAGTTACCTAAATGAGTTAAATACAAAGAAATAGCAATCAAAATTAGTGACGATTTTTTATGGTCATAAGTTTGATAAAACAGTGATCATTTTTTATGGTCACTAATTGGGTAAATCAGTGACCATTTTTTATGGTCACTAATTGGATAAATCAGCGACCATTTTTTATGGTCACTAATTTGACAAAACAGTGACACTTTTTATGGTCACTAGTTAGATAAAACAGTGACGACTTTCATTGATTAGTGACAACATTTAGTGACGAAATGGATCGTCACAGATTTAGTGACCAGTATATTTTGGTCACTATTTAATGACCGCTTTTTTATTTTGGTCACTAATCAATTTTTGTGACGGACCTATAGTGACGAAAAGTGACGACCAAGAGTTTAGTCACTAAATCATTTAGTGACGACTCATTCTATTGTCAGTGACCATTTCGCTTTCGTCACTAATTGGCATTTTTTTTGTAGTGAATGTACCTCTCTCTATAAGGGCTCTTTTGAAGAGTAAATAAATAAAACCCCATATATTTTAAACAATCCACTTTCCCTTCCCTTCTATGAAGTGATAAGACAATAATAAACACAAAAAATATAATGTTACACATGTAGTCACCATACTCCATATTTTCTCTAAGCTGGCTATTTTATGTTTACAACATTTCCTCCCTTTAATCAAATACTTGGTAATCACCCCACAGATCAACAGTTATCTCTCACATACCCACAACTTATAATAAAAAAAATATGTACCTGGGTATCATAGTTCAAGTGGTGTCCTAGCATGTAAAGTTAATGTCACCTATATATTGGAGAGTCTTGCTCAGTAGATCCGGTGCTGTTCTAGAAGATACGAATCACATTTTTTGACTAACATGTACCTATATCTCTGTCTGGAATCTTTTCTTCAATTGATGGAGTCTTCAAACTCCCGAATTCTTATCGTTGGATAATATTTGGTTGATGGCTACCGGCTGTCACATCACTTACTATATGTTCAAATCCCTAAAAAAGCTTTGATATTGTTGGTGTTGTGGTCGAACAACAACAAAGTTAGAAAGTCAAGGTTTTCGATGTTTTGGATTAATGGCTTTGGTGTAAGGGTTGCTGTTTTAATGTTTGCATCCCTTGATTGCTGCTTTTGGGTTTCTTCAGTCTTGTCCTTGGGTGTCTTCGGTTGTTGCTTCGTTGCTGTCTTTCATGTTGCTATTAAGGTGAAGTATTAGCAGGATTAACTTGGAGTATCTAATTCCCATGTTTTATTTCTTTGTAGTTCATGTTCCAAAAATCGAATTAGTATTGGTTCAAAGTTCGGTTCTTTCAAATCCTGACTCTAAAATGAAGTCCTAATTCGAGTTCATATCACCGTAGATCCATTTAAGATATACAAATGACGAAGATACATATTCTTAAACAAAATGTGAATGAAAAAAAGCAAAAACTGAACCTTTTATTTCCATAAAGAATACTTGAAATAAACAAACAAATTGTGGAGTTATTATTTAGAATCTGCAAAAATGAAAACTTAAGATCTGAATAAATTAAATAGATCAAATATCTGGGTATTCTTTGAGAACACGCAATGATGAAGATGAAGACGATAAGGAATTCCGATTCAAAAATAACGAGTCGGGATTGTAAAATGGAAGCTGATGAGTCGATCCACAGAAGAAATCCGTTGGGTTGGCCGAAAAAACTGGCGTAGGATTAAAGTAAGGATCAAATCCCGCCGCCCTATAAGGCGGTGCTGTAACCCCGACCCCAACCCCACCATCAACAAAACAAGAATTCACCTGAGGTATATCATTCACGCTACTGCCATGTTCCTCCGTAACAACAGAGGTTGATTCATTATCCTCCGTGTTCCCTTGACCTCGGTGGTGTCTCCGATCTTGTGTCTGTTGTGTGTCCTCCGGTGGTGGGGTGTATCCGGTGAGTTTTTGAACCAATGCCATGAAATCTCGTGGGTGCGTATGGATCACTTTGGGAGAATGCGTGTATATGATGACGGGTCGTCGTGGTGGTTGTTGTTGTTGTTGTTGTTGGGGTTTGTTGGTTAAGCCGTCGGAGGTGGTGGTGGATGATGTGGTGTTGGAGGACGGAGGCAGACGGGTGATGAAATTGGAGTCTTTGTTGATCTTGAGTGGCGTTTGATCGTACGCGCCACCGTCATGTTGTTCTTCCTTTGCATGGAATTGCGATAGGCCCATGCTGGAAAAGATGAGAAACGATGAGAACTTTAAAAACCTGAAACGTGTTTTTGTAAACTGTGTGGATGAGGGGAGGGGTAGTGTTAGTTTGGGTTTTCCTTGTTGTGGGGTAGGTTGTTAAGGGAATGAACGAATAGAAAAAGAGTTTATGTTCATGTTTATCTAAATTAAATAAATTAATCAGAATGTTTAAGTGAGCTAATGTTATTTCATAGTAACTTTCATTGTTACAACTTACAATTACTTACACACTTGGTATTATTTTTTTGGTAGGTTCTGACAAAAAAAAGTGAATTATATTTCAACCAAGATTCACTTATTAAAATAACATGTACATTGATAAATCCGTAATTTACGATGATTTATGCAAGATAGGAATAAAACACAAAGAACTCTTGAAATTTCAAAATATTTCGATATGGAGTGCCAAATGAACGATTGTTGGCCTGAATTTGCAGGGACGTATGCCAAGTCGAGATCTTTTAAGAGTGTGTGCGACATATTTATGAGTGTCCTCACCATTTTACAAATTCATGTAACAAGTTTATAGGTTTTCAACTTAATTTTATAGTTTTTATAGTTTGTCGATGAAAATACATGTTGGATGGTTTCAATCATTATACACAATTTATCTTGTATGCTTTTAATTTTAATAGAAGACTCTTGTCAACCATGTTTTATAGTAATAGCAATCCCAACTATACACCGCACTCTTAAATCAGACTATCGTAGTCATGATAAAAGACCAGTTTGGTAACATATATGTAACTGCAATAGAACCGAACCATGCATGGTGTAATCGTCAAAATCATCACATGACAACCAATACTCGGTTAGGGCCTTCGGGGTACTTTTGAAGGGCTAGTCCGGAAAATCAAACCAGCCACTAAAGTAAATTTCACATCCAAAGATTGACCGGTCTTTTCACAATTGTTAGTATGGGTATTTATGCTAAGTCGTACAAGAGCATATAACAACTAATGATACGTTCGAGCAATCAAACATTAGTGATGATGCGTCGATGAGATGTTCGCTAAAACCACCCGGAACAAAACAAACAATCTAATGTAGAAACCATAAGTTTATGAAGGCAGTCGCAACATAATCCATGACATCCTATCATGGAATATCTAAATCTCCCCCAAACACCTTTTGATTATAACTTCCTTACTCTTGAACTAACTTTACCATTGGAGCGATCTATTGGGTCATTTACCCATGGTTCTTCTGACAATTCATGGTGTTGTTTCAAGTACAAAGAATCAATGCAATGCCATATTAATCTCGAACATAATCACCTCACAAAATGATGATAATATCATTAATTTGGCGCCATCCGTTGGGGCAACATGCAAATCGGCTACTACTGAAACCAATCGCATAGCCAATTCCGAACATAGTCTCATACCTTACATGTAAATCTTAGAAATATGAGGAAACAATAATCCTCTGATGAATACTCCGATCACCCAATTCGTTGGAGGAGCATTAATGTTGTTTGTTAACACCCAAGAAAAGGAGGTTGAACCCTAGGTGTAACGTCTCGATATTGAACACAAAATTTTTATTTTTATTATCCAATATATTAGAGTATAGTTACATTATGCGGAAAACATGATACGAATGTGTGTAAGCATAGTTGAGCCTTGCCCTTCTCACGAACCAATTTATAATCAATTGGGTAAGCACGGAGCTTAATGAGTTCCCCAAAATACCATATACCACAATACATATATAATGCATATACATAATGGCCTTCAACATAAAATATTCCGTCCCTTGGCCTTTAGCACGAAGCTGGTCCGCCACTTTTTGCCAACAATATAAAGCTGGTATGCACCTTGGCCTTCAGCGTAAAGCTGGTCCGCCCGAGTCTATTGGCCTTCAGCATGAGGCTGGGTCGCCTTTAACTCCCCACATAATATATCAATACCTATCTAACAGATAAATAGTTCAACACAATAGACAACTATCTAAGCTAGTCTATATGCCTAATAACATATTATATGTCAACTTTATCCTAACATATAGATGATACATACTGGAGTATATAATATAGTGGGGAAAACTCACTTGGACAATTTCTCAGACGTTTGACAACTATCAGGGTGATCCTACTAGCAATCCAATTGGCGAGCAACACGTCAAACAAGTATAAACCTATAATACTATAACTTATTAATCCATATGATAATCTGGTAATGAAAGCTAGATCTTTCACTAACCCCAATGAATATCGAGAGTTCTATCAAATAAGGATCAGTCAGACAACACAATTGGAAAGAAGGACCACTTCAGCATATAACCTTTCTGAATTCCAAACAAAAACATGTTATCTCTGATATTTTAGACGTACGGAGATCTGTGATGAATAATTCTCAAGAGCGAATCACAATTAAATATAGGGCATGAAAATTAAACCACACTCTAATACCACGTATTAAATTAGAAGAATAATCCAAGATCAATTTATACATAAACATGAAAAAAAAACCTATGGCAGTTAAATAATACTTACTTGGAGACATATCATTGATGTTAAAGATGTTCTCCCATATGATTCTTTCATTTCTCATAATAGTGCCTAAGTGATTGATAGTGATGGATGAATCACACACATGATTATATGATCATATTGTTTTATAAAGAGGTCTTAGATCATCAAAGAAAAGAACCA